TTTGTTTATTTGTTTGTTGTTTTTTTGTGTGTAGTTACCTTCCTTGGGTTGGGGTTTTTCTTCCAGTAATTCCTGTAAGGCTGGATTTGTGGATATGTATTATGTAAATCTGGTTTTGTCATGGAATATATTGTTTTCTCCATTTATAGTGATTGAAAGCTTTGCTGGATACAGTAGTCTGGGCTGGCATCCATGTTCCCTTAGCATTTGTAGAACATCTATCCAGGATCTTCTGACTTTCAAAGATTCCATTGAGAAGTCGGATGTGATTCATATAGATCTGCCTTTATATGTTACTTGGCCTTTTTCTTTTGCTGCTCTTAATATTTTTTCTTTATTCTGTAAGTTTGGTGTTTTGATTATTATGTGGCAAGGGGACTTCTGTTTGTGATCCAATCTATTTGGTGTTCTGTGAGCTTCTTGTACTTTCATAGGCATACCCTTTTTTAGCTTGGCAGAATTTTCTTTTACAATTTTGTTGAATATGTTTTCTGTACCTTTGAGCTGAATTTTTCACCTTCTTCTATATCTATTATTATAATTTTTGTCTTTTCTCTGTGTCCCATAGTTCCTGGATATTTTGAGTTCGGGATTGTTGGACTTGAGATTTTCTTTGGTTGATGACTGTATATCCTCTAATGAGTATTTAACACCTGAGATTCTCTCTCCCATCTCTTGTATTCTATTGGTTATATCAGTGGTTCCTGATCATTTACCAACCATTTCTATTTCCAGTGTCCCCTCATTCTGTGTTTTCCTTGTTGTTTCTAATTCTGCTTTCAAACTGTGAACTGTTTGAATTGTTTCCTTCACTTGTTCGGTTGTTTTTTCTTGACTTTCTTTAAGAGATTTATTTCTTGAATTTTTTGGTTTGTCTTTTCCACCATTTCATGTAATTTTTTGCTTGATTTTTTTCTTCTATTTCTTTAAGGGATTTTCTTATTTCCTCTTTAATGTTCTCTATCATCTTCATAAGATAATTTTTAAGGTCCACCTCTTCTTCATCCTCTGCACTGGGCTTTTCAGTTCTTGCTGGTGAGGAGTCCCTAGATTCTGGTGGTGTCTTATTGGTCTTTCTGTTGTTGAGTGTGTTCTTATTCTCTTGTCTTCCCATCTCTTCTTCCAGTGGGTGCAGGTGAGGTCTCTCTCTCTCTCTCAAGTGTCAGGCAATGGGCAGAGAGCTGAAGGGTGACAAGGGCTATGTGCATCTGGACTCAGGTTGGGTCTTCTGGTCTGGGCAGCTCACTCTTGTCCAGAGGGAGGCTCAGGAAGAAGAGAGCAAGGGGGTGATCGGGGAAATTGGGGGCAGAGCAGTGCCCAGACTCACCTCAGGCAGCAGGCACCAGTCTGAAAGTAACATTTTTTAAAGGCACTAAAAACTGATAGATTTCTAGGAATAGGAATGATGTCTACCAAAACTAGTACAGAAAAATATGCAGAACATTATTGAAAAAATCAACAATAACAGAAAACTATAAATCTATGTGTGAGAAGTTTTGGCATAGCTGTTAAACATTCCATGTAATTTTATTTGCATTGGTGTAATTCTGACAAATTCTGAAGTAATTCTGATAAAGCAAAAGTAGACAGAAATTTCTGCAAAGAGAGTTCACTATGCTAGGCACTATTTTTTTTCCCTGGCATAATGTTTCTCTCTGTATTGGGCAGAAGAGTTCTCCACTCCAGATCTATTGAAGGAACAAAGCCATGGCTAAGATATGAAGCCAGATGCACTAATTTATGCATGTCCTCATTCAGACTCTTCTCTCTCAAATTATAAAACATGTTGTGTACAAGCCCTCAGAAAAGCAAAACCTACCAGGTTTTGCAAAAACAACTCTGTTCCCCATAGGCATATACAAAATTAATTGAATGTTGGCTCTAATATTAAAAGGCTATGAGATTTGGATGAATAATTTAATCTCTTTTGAGGATTAATTTATTTCTTTTATTTAAATTAGAAACAAGCTTATTTTACATGTCAATTCCAGTCCCTTATCTCTCCCCTCCTCCCATGCCTGCCACCAACAACCTATCCCATCCTCTTTCTGCTCCCCAGGGAGGGTGAGGCCTTCCATGGGGGATATTCAATGTCTGTCACATCATTTGGTGCAGGATCTAGACCCTCCATCCCCGCCGCCCCAAGTGTCTAGGCTGAGAGAGTATCCCTCTATGTGGAATGGGCTCCCAAAGTCCATTCCTATGCTAGGGGTAATTACTGATCCACTACAGAGGCCCCATAGATTCTGCAGGCCTCTTAACCAACACCCACATTCAGGGTGTTTGGATCAGTTCTATGATGGTTTCCCAGCTATCAATATGGGGGCAATGAGCAACCCCTTGTTCAGGTCAGCTGTTTCTATGGGTTTCTGCAGCCTGGTCTTGACCCCTTGGCTCATCACTCCTCACTCTCTGCAACTGGATTCCAGGAGTTTGGCTCAATGTTTAGTTGTGGGCATCTGCTTCTGTTTTCATTTAATCTTTTTTTTCTTTTTTTTATTAGAGAGAAAATTATTTTACATGTCAATCCCAGGTCCCTCTCTCTTCCCTCCTCCTCTGCCCCCCCCAACAAACACCCTACCTATCCCATACTCTTTCTGCTTCCCAGGCTGGGTGAGGACTTCCATAGGGGGTCTTAAAATCTGTCATATTCTTTGGGATAGGGCCTAGGCCAACCCCCTTGTGTCTACACTCAGGGAGTATCCCTCCATGTGGGATGGGCTCCCAAAGTCCATTCCTATGCTAGGGTTAAGTACTGATCCACTACAAGAGTCCCCATAGATTTCCAAGGTTTCCTCACTAGTGCCCACATTCAGGGGGTCTGGATCAGTCCCATGCTGGTATCCCAGCTATCAGTCTGGGGACCAAGAGCTCTCCCTTGTTCAAGTCAGCTATTTCTGTAAGTTTCACCAGCCTGGTATGGACCCCTTTGCTCATCAGTCCTCCTTCTCTGCAACTGGATTTCAGTTCAGTTCAAGGTTTAGCTTTGGGCGTCTGCTTCTACTTCCACCAGCTGCTAGATGAAGGCTATAAAGGTTTAAAGAGAAATCAAGCACTAGGGAAATGTCTAGAGAGCTACAAAATGACACCAACTAACAATCTAAACAACAGAGAAGAGGCTACCTTAAATGCCCTCTCCTGATAATGAGATTGATGACTAATCCATTTAATCTTTTAAGATCACAATTTCTTCAACAATAAAAAATAGGATTCTTTTTCTTTTATCACAAATAGATTTTTAAATGCAATATATTCTGATTATGGTTTCCTCTACCTCAAATCTACCTAATTGCTCCCCACCTACCATATCATTCAGATCCACACCCTTTCTGTCTCATTAGAAAACAAGCAGGAATAATAATAAAATAATATTAACAAATAATAAATAAATCTAAGAAATAAATAAGATAGAACAAAGTAAAACAAATGAGTCAGATAAGGGTAAAACAAACAAACAAGAAAAAGAGCCACAGAAAAAGCAAAAGAAACACATAGAGATGCAGAGACACACGTTTGCACACACAAGAATCCAACCAAAACACAAAACTAGAAGCTATAATATGAACACAAAAGATCTGTCAGGCTTGAAAAAATCTCTGGAACATTATGAGAGCCTTGTAAGATACCAGAGAATTTGTTTTCTGTTGGCCATCAAATATGGGACATGCATCGTACCACTAACAGTGGTTTGTTTTTCACTCTTGTAAGACTCACTTAAAGAAAACCCATTTTTCATTTATAAGGGGTTATCAACCACAGTTAACTTCTGGATTAGATATGGAGGCATGTGTCTACTTTTCCTTTCAGCTCTGAGACCCCATCTGTTCACAGACCCATGCAGGCCCTATCCCTACTGCCTCAGTCTCTTTGAGTTCATATGTGTGTGAGTCATGTTGGTTTAGAAAACATTGTTTCTTTGGTGCCCTCTATCTCCTCTGGGTCTTCCACACTTTTTGCCTCCTCTCTTGCAGGGTTCCCTGAGTCCTGAGGGGATGGATTTGATGGAGACATACCATTTAGGGCTGAGTTTTCCAAGGTCTCTCACTTTCTGCACACTGGTTGGCTATGGGTAGCATATGGCTATGCTACAGGAGAAAGCTTCTCTGATGATAGCTAAACTAGACACTGATCTATGAATAATGTAAAAATGTCATTAGGAGTCACTTCATTGGTATGTTATTTTAGTAGAATAGTAGTGTTTGGTTTTACCCGAGCTTCCTGGGATATTTAGTCTCAGGATCTTGGTCACTCAAGCAATGTCAAGTGTGGGTTACATCTCATGGAGTGGACTTTTTGTCAAATCAGGTGTTTGTTGGTTCCTTCCACAAGCTTTGAGCCACTATTATATTACATCAGCATACCTTGCAGGCAGGTCACCATTGTAGATCATAGGGTTTGTAGCTGGCTTCATGTTTACATTTCTTTTCTGGCAGCATGCAGAACGTAGAACATTGAACTAATTGTTCATAGGGGTGAAGGCTCTGTGTAGGCACCAGCTTAACTTTTTTGTGTTCAGTGAGTTGTTTAGGTACTATTTTCAGCAAGTGGGACTTAAAATAAATTTGTGGAAAACAACTAAGAGCATTGGCAACAGCCTGGGTTGCTTAGGGTTTCTCACAGGACCTCTTTTGCCAACAATTCAATTAGATATAATCCATTCCTATATTGGAAGCTTCATTTGGTAATGAGAGATGGCCAGTTGGGACCATTTCTACCACATTATTTGGCAATTTCATTTAGATAGGCTTCATAAATGTATATATTTTAGGAAGCTTCTGATGTAATCAGTTTCCATAAGACCCCCAAAATGTCCCTTAGTTTTAGCTGTGTCTTCTCAAAAGGGGAGGAATTCCCTATTCCTCTCTCCCCTCACCTTTCCCTTTTGATCCCCTATTCCAG